TATATATATATTTTTTTTTTTTTTTTTTTTTTTTTTAACTAGAATAAACTAAATTTATTCCAAACAAACATTTATGCATAAATACATGGAGAACTTTGAAACAAATGTTATTGTAAGGATGTGAGGAAGATAAACCATATTGGCAACTAGTGTTCATCAATTTTACTTTTGTTCAACGTGTTTTTGTTTTTTTTGTTTTTTTTTAGATAGATTGTTAGTTGTAGCGATTGGGAAGCTTTACGTGGACACAGTAACATTAAGATGTGTTTAAAAAGTATTTAACCATATTTCAGAAAATTTTAGAGTTGTAAGGCCTAAATTATAGTTTTGGAAAATTTTAAAGTTTTGTAGACCCCGCGGACACCCTGGTGTAATCATATTTGGTTATCTGCAGCAAGTTTTGAAACCCCTGTTGAAAATCAAGTCTCAAGTGTATTAAAGACAGTTAAAATATTGACAGCCAACTCTCTTTAGCATCAACCCAAACTTTAACACATTATAGGGAACTCATTAAATACTCATTTAAAAGGCCCTGTAGTGTTACTGCGGAGTTATCACAAGAATCTTTTTATAATAATAAAATGTACATACAGTTATCAGTGTCAATCAGGTTACCATTTTGGGTCCTTTGCTCAATAAAAGATGAAAGAATTTGAAAATTTAAAATAGCAGTTGACAAAATAACAATTCAATTCAATTAAATTCAACTTTATTTGTAAAGCGCTTTTACAATGTAGATTGTGTCAAAGCAGCTTCACATAAATGGTCATAGTAACTGGAACAGTGTGGTTCAGGTTTTAGTGTTTAAGTTCAGTTCAGTTCAGTTTAGCTCAGTTCAGTGTGATTTAATCATTACTCACAGTTCTTCAGTTACATTACTTCAGTTCAAACACTGAAGAGCCAATTCATCGATGCGTAGCTCTACCAATCCTGAACCATGCAAGGCAGTGAACAGTAAATGCTTATAATAAATAGATCATTGTCATGCATTGTTGTGGATTCTAGTATAGTTATCTTTATCGAGACAGTAACATTTATAAATAAAGAGCCAAAAATAATTAATTCCCAACTAAACATTAACATTTCAAACATTCTGAGTTGACTGATGCATTTATAGTATGCAGACAAATCTGTCATTCTCACACAGCCCAACAACCACCAACAGGGTTAACTCGAGGATCCAACAAATCCAAACAACCACTGAAATATAATGCTTGTCGGAGAACAAGCCTCGGACTAGAGTATCCATTTCTGCAGTAAAAAGCCTGAAAACACCCACACAAGGTGTTGTATAGAGATGTCCCACTGAGAGAAAGAGATAAGGGTCAGTTATTATTGGGGTCCTGTGTGTGGGTTGATTCACTGGTTCATGACAGGAAACATAAAATGCTTTATTGAGAGGACAAAGGTTTTCTGGCAAATTAGGCACTGCTCAAGTTTCTTCCTATCACTCTCTCTAAGCTATTCTGGTAGGCAATGGGTTTGGTAATAGTGTAGGCTTATATACAGTGGAGATCAAAATTAGAGAGCAAACTACAATTTCCTACAGTCTTATTTGAAGGAGCAAAAGAGCATTATTTTAAGCATGGCTCGTAAAAACATTTCATACAGCTTGTCTAAAGATTTAAATTAGATATTTAAACACTGGTCTAAACTACAGACCAGATTCCTCTCAGTTATTGGTATTTATCTGGCACTTGATTTAGAGAATATGGGGTGTAGTGACCAATTCTCTCAAAGTGATCTAACCTGCTATTGTGAGGTCAGAGAACTGTAAAATTATGTGAAATGGAAAAAAACAGTTTTAAACCTAAAACTTTGAAATAATGAAATGCCAGCCCAAAGACCTGACCTAAACCTGATTGAAAATCTTGATTGAAAATCTAATGAAAATTGTGGCTACAAATGTACAATTCTGATGTCAAATGTACTACTGCAAATGTCATTCACACGGAGCAAGAGCCTGGACACTTTCTACACATTTCTGACTTCTGCAACCTTTAGAAATTTTAGTTGTAATATTTCTTTGTGCAACAATCATAGCTGCTATCTAATAGCATTTTTGTAAAACACTGTTCTATTAGCTATTAAATACTCTTATATGAAAGAGGAAGATTGATATTTCTTTTTTAAAAACCAAGTGTTTATAAATTCCTAGTTTTGATCTCCATTGTATTTGATACAGAGCATTTTTTATAGATTATGTGCAACCCTGACACTGTACCACATTATGATTGTGGATGTTTCTCCATCTAAGCAATGTAAAGATCTGGCACAGCAGCTCTGAGTCTCTCAACCAAATCAGTTTTTATTGGACCTTCACTGGCAGCGGCCATAAACATCCTGCTCGCTCCTGTACAGCCCAGCTGTGAGTTATTACTCAGGGTTGCGGGGACATGCCAGAACTGGTGCACCTTTTCCAATATTTTTTCCCCATAGAATTACTCTAGACATGAATGGAATAAGCAAAGAAGCTTATTGTGAGATTAAAATTAATTTGCGTTTGTTATCCAAATATGAAAATAATTTAAATATACAACACCTGTAGTCTGCTGTTACACATACACATTGTCACACATGCAGATACACAGTAAAACAAAGACAAGCCTGTGATGTTCATTCATAATAATTCTCTAATTGTACCAGACTGAGGATTAAAGAACTGACAGCTGATTAAACGGGTATATTTAAGCTTTTTTAAATATATTCTCTTTAACTGTATTAATTGATGTTTAAGGAAAGAACAAAGCTGCAATCTTTGAAGCTGTGTTTTTCACTTTTAATTATTTAAATTGAAATGAGCGAGAATGTGGAGGATGTCTTTACATCCCATGTCTTTATGGACTTGCATTTTATTCATTTTTAATCCAAGCCTAAAGAAAACAAAAACCACAGACACTTATTGCTTATTATATCTTAGTGGGTTGTACTGATAACACTTTACAATGAGAACTGTTAGTTAATGCATTAACTAAAAATGTAAGAAGTAATTTGTTACAGCATTTATTAATTTAATGTTTTATAATAAAAATGTTGATCATTGGTTCATGTTAGCACTGTTCCATCAAATAATATTTACTAATATATTATTTTAAAAAATACATTTATTCATGTTCCAGTTGAGGTTAAGGCAAATCTACATTGGTAAAAATCTAAATTTTTTGTTAATAAAACAATTAATAAAAATACGTTTTGTGTCTTTCTATTTTTAAAAATGTGATTTGCTGTTACTATTTTTATTAGCTGTGAAATTGGCAATAGGTTAGTGGTGTGCTTTACATATTCAGTTGAAGTCAGAATTATTAGCCCCCCTTTGATTTTTGTTTTTTGTTTTTTAAATATTCCCCAAATTATGTTTAACAGAGCAAGGAAATTTTCACAGTATGTCTAATAATATTTTTTCTTATGGAGAAAGTGTTATGTGTTTTATTTCGGCTAGAATAAAAGCAGTTTTTAATTTTTTAAAAACCATTTTAAAGTCAAAATTCTTAGCCCCCAACTATTTTTATTGATAGTCTACAGAACAAACCATCGTTATACAATAACTTGCCTAATTACTCTAACCTGCCTAGTTAACCTAATCAACCTGGTTAAGTCGTTAAATGTCACTTTATGCTGTATAGAGGTGTTTATGGAAAATAATTAATCAAATATTATTTACTGTCATCATGGCAAAGATAAAATAAATTAGTTATTAGAAAAGAGTTATTAAAACTATAGAAAAGTGTTGAAAAAAATCTCTCGGTTAAACAGAAAGTGGGGGGGAAATAAACAGGGGGCGACTAATTCCACTAACTTCAACTGTAAATATCAAATATATGTCTTTCTATTTACAATTTAGGTTCAATTCAATGATACAAATTTTAAGTAAATACTTTGAAATATTTACAAGCATTTCTAAGTGAAATTTGTGTGAAATTAATTTTTCATTGAATAAAATAAAATCTATTCTTTTTACTTTTTCATCAGTTAGTTCAGTGCTGTGTATTTTAATGCTTATCTATATAATTAGAAAATGCTTATCTTCCTTGTTCATATAATTATAGTTAATAGCTAATAGAACACTGTATTTTACTTTTCGCATGGCAACATAATACCAAACTCTTTTGAAATCCATTGCTTGTCTAGTCTCTATTGGGTGTGGAGTACTATTTGTGTCCCACTCTTAGATGCAGTCTTCCAAATGAGTTTCCACGATAGTTATAATGCTGCCCATGTAGGCAGTTGGCGGCGAGGCATCTTACTAGGTTTTGGAACAGAGCTACTGTCTGTCACCATGGAGATTTACCGCAGAACTTCAATAGTCAAGCAAAGCTCAGATTGAGAGATGCAGTCAGATCTCACTGAGGTTCAACAAGGGAGGAACAGCGCCATCTATAGGACCAAACTAAACCTCCATAAAACAACACCATTGGAATGCATTAGACATTGACTCTTTTCCAAGGACACCACTGAAACCTGTTCACTCAAATCTCTAACATCCATTACAAAGCACATTTTCATAAATGACCGATGCAGACGGGCCATTCACTAGACACCATTTAGATTCATTCATTTTGTGGAGGCTTTCATCCACAGCCAAGTGAGCATGTTTTTTATGGAAAATTACATAAAATAATGGTTGTTTTATTTTATTATTGATGATTCAGTGTAGATCCTTTATATTCCAAGCACTCTTAAAAAGAAAGGATCTTTATACATATTACATATCACATTTATACATATAACATTCTAAAGCATTTCTGCATACATTATGGTGTAAAAATTGTTTTTAGACTATTACTATATTCTTTAGAAGAGAAAAGTTTTAATTATTATTATTTGCATTATTAAAAGTTTGTTGTCTAAAATGTTCTTTGGGATGCACAAAATGATTTTTCTATGCCTTTATTTTTCAGTGTGCATATAGACATGCATAGATTAACCATACAAAAAGCTGGTAAATGATTTGTACTCGGCGTTAAGTGACCGTGAAACAGACATATTAACATCAGACTTACCTGATATGATGGGAGCCAGACGAAAAATATCAGACAGACGGCTGTTTACGGGCTCATATGGCGAGTCTTCCAATAAGTCATTAGCTGCAAGCAAAAAAGTAAAATAGTAAAAAAAAAATTCACAGAACTACAACTTTTGAAGTTTATACACTTTGTTATAAATGTCCTCTTGTCCAGCATTCTCATGACTGGACTCTCATGGATTCTGCTTACCCTGTAAACTTTGATATATACTCCAGAAGATGCGCAGGCAGTTCTTTTCTTTCTTCATTCCTCTCCTGCACTTGCAGTCATACAGAGGACTCTGTTTCATCGACTCTATGGCGTTCCTGCACTCGTCCTGCGCCTCTGGTTCAGCCAGCATGCTGAAGTTACCGGTTCTCCCGGCCACACACTGTCTCATAGTGCGGTACTTGGTGCTGCATCCGTACTTTCCCAAACACTGTTCATGAGCCCTAACGCAGTCCAGCCGAACCGAGCGAGACTGTGCGATCGCATCTGCCTTTGAGAAGTGCACTAAATCTGTGCGGGGAAAAGACAAAGTTAGACGTGAATACCATAGAATAGGAAAACTGGTTGGCAGAGTATCATCACAATGCTCTAATTGTTTAATGAAGATGATAACACTTACCTTCTAAGTTAGAAGACCCAATTCAAACAATTAGAGACAACTTATATGATAAAAGACAAAGACACTCAAATGTTTTATTCTAGTTCCTGCTATAAATTTATTTTTCGTTTCAGGCATTGTAATAATAACATTGCAACTCGTATGCATCTTAATTACAAGTGCGTTTCGCACAGCTGTAAGCCGCAAACAAACGTTGGAGCACATGGATTTCAACTTACCAAGCACAGGAAACATTATCCAAAAAGTTGCGAATATCATCGTCGCTTTATTCAGATCCATTCAGAGAGCAGAGAAACTGGTTAAATACGACATAGAACAAATTCCACAATAAATCCATTGCGCGCCAGCTGCGCACTGGCGAGGAACAAGTGATCAGACATCATATACACATCCGGACAGACTCCAACAAGCGCCGAGTGCTGCTGTGGTGGACACACCCCACGAGGAGATAATAAAAAAAGCAACAGGCTATTGAGAATTTAAAAAATAATACTAAGATTAAAAAACTATGAGTTATATTCAGACTTTTGATTTCTTCTTTATCAAATCTTCAACAATCGTTTAAAACAACGGCTTGCCTTAAAATATACAAGAACATTACGAAATGAATAAAAGTTAACGTCAGTCCACATTACATGTCAAACATGGGTGCTGTTTCGCTCTCAGTTGACCGACAATATGCATGTAAGGTCGAAGAACGCGCACTCTGTGGGAGAACACTGCGCATGTGCTCGGGTCTGGAGAAGGTCGGTCCTTTTGGCTCAGTTAGACAGTAAGTATTCGCTGATTAGGCACCATTAAGCACTTTACTTAATAAGAATTATCCAAAGACTGTCCAAGCATAAATGGAATCCACTTTGCGATCCATATCTGACACCCTGTGTGCGAATTATTGTCTGTCGACGTTTTTTTTTTTTTTTACCTTCCTTCCTCCTTGACACTTTTAGGTTGGTTTCGCCTATACACAAATTGTCCTCTAATGTTTAATATGAATTATGTAGACAAACACAAAGTGAAGCTGTTTCTGATATGTAAATGTAATAACTGACAAAGAATGTCATTAATTATGTTATCGTTGTACGAAACAGCGTTACCTCGAGGACAGGTGAAGGCATCTTTATCTTTAATGTATAGCGCATTAATGAAACGTCTTTGGAAAATGAGAACACACTCTTTTTAGATACTCAACCTTTAAACCACGTCAGTTTCTGTGTTCAACACAGCTAACAAAAGCAAATATGACGTCATTTAGCAATTGTTTGCTCTTATATGTTGCTTTTAGGGTAGCTTACTCAGAAATTATGAAGCCATCACTTTAGGGCTACCCGTTAAGATTTCTGTGTTATTTATTTATGCCTTTTGTATGATGAAAACCTCTCATAAAAAAAAGTTTTATTTCTTATTTGAGCGAATGGCGGAAATAAAAGCATGAGCGCCACCTGTGTACTAAAGACTAGTATAACAGCTGGCAATTCTATTCATTCAGTGGAGCAGTAGTACTTAGGAATGTCTAAATGTGCATATAGAATCCATATTAATAATAAAGTTATATTATTGCATATTCAGGATATTTTATTATTATTTTATTATTTTATTAATCCATTATTATCAGAACTAATCATTTAACATATTTACACTGATGTAAAATGTTCTCAGATCACTAATAAACTTTACACTTTGTAAATATGAATCAGAAGACTAGCAAAACAAAGCATATAATTACAGTCAAATTGATGAAACATCTGCCATGTGGTCATTATATCTTCATGCAGTGCCCCTGCAAGTAATTTCACTTTTTTATCTCTCAGATTGATCTATAAATGTTGATCCAATCATGTTTCCTTTATGTATGTCATATAGCAATTGATTTATCCTGGGTTGTTAACAAGCTCAATTCCACTAAAATCCAACAGACATCTGTTTTTTCTGTTTAATGACATTTTCAAAAAACATGAAGAATTAATTACACAGAGCTTAAATCATTAGCAATTGCCTGACATGCAGTAAACCAGTAAAACTAATGAGATTGCATAGGCATACTAAACTTGATTAGAAACTCAATATGTGATCAATACTTACCTTTAGGTTGTGTGAAGTCTAACCATCTAGGAAATGAGCTCTGCTGGATTTATTGTTGGTTAATCAAAGACATTGTCGGATGCCGATGGATAATGTGAATAACAGCATCACACAAAAGATGCACCATTGATCCAGCCATGCTTTTGCAGACAATTACCTTTCTTTGAAACCTGGCAATAAATCTGTCAGAGAGACAGAAAGCACATAGCTAAAACATTTCCTGAATGGAATTTGCTGACTCTAATTGATCATTCGTTCACATTCACAGGCCACTTTATAAGGCACACCTTGTTAGTACCAGGGTGAACCCTTTTGCATTCAGAACTGCCTTTACCTTTAACTACCCTTCCAAGAAAAAAAAATAATGTTTGGATTGCATTTCTTAACTCCTAATGTCACTAGTTAACACGATCAATGCATTGTTTTCAACACATCCCATCATTTCTAAAATATCAGTCTTTACCAAATGGTGGATATGTCGGTTTATGGCAAAAGTCATTCATATTAATACATATAATATCAAAAATCTAAAAATGTGACGTTTAAGACCAATTTATTTAAAAAATTCAAAATAAAACATTTTTGAACCAAAATAAAGTGTAGTAGTGCAACAGTTTGTTTGATTTTTCTTTTTTAAGCCAACAATGTTGTGTGTGTAAGCCATTATATAAAATGGCTTACAAAAAGTCTTTAAATGACTTTAAAGTCATTATTTATAACAGTAAAAACATGGTCAACCATTTGGTAGAGGTGCAGTCAAAGGGGTATACACACACATACAGTGGGTATGAAAAGTATTCAGATCCTCTTAAATCCTTTATTTTATATTTCAGTCATTGGCTAAAATCATTTACGTTCATTAACATTTTTCTCATTAATGTACCCTTTTCTAGTCTAATGGACCTCAGACTTGGCCGGGCCGAAGGTTTACATTTCAACAAGACAATGACCCTAAGCACACGTCTAAAAATGTAAAACAACTCCGTGGCTTTTCTTCAATTGCCCAGCCAGAGCCCTGACCTAAACCAAATCGAGCATCTCTGGAGAGACCTAAAAATGTCTGTCCACCAACGTTTACCATCCAATTGGACAAAACTGGAGAGGGTCGGCAAGGAGGAATGGCAGAGGATCCTCAAATCCAGGTGAGAAACTTGTTGCATCTTTCCCAAAAAGACTCATGGCTGTATTAGATCAAAAGAGTGCTTCTACTAAATTCTGAGCAAATGGTCTGAATATTTAGAACCATGTGATGTTTCAGTTTTTCTTTTTAACAAATCTTCAAAAATTGTCAACAATTCTGTTTTTCTGGCAATATGGGGTGCTGCTACATTTAATGAGGAAATAAAAATTAACTAATGATTTTAGCAAATGGCTGCAATATAACAATGTGTAATTTTTTTTGGAGGGCTGAATTCTTTCCGTACCCACTGTAAACATTTTATTGTACTATAGAAGCAAGGCTACTGGTTTCCAGCATTCTTTAACATTTATTACAGTATGTTCAACTAAAAAAAGGTTTAGTACCACAAGAGGCTGAGTAGATTTTTATTTGTGGGCAAACTGTCGCATGTTATGGCATAGGTTTAACATAGATGCAGGCGATTTTGAGCCATATTGATGTGATATCATAATGCAGTTACTGGAGATTCATCTCCTATTTTCCCAAATATGCTCTATTGGATTAAGTTTGGTGGCTATGGGGGCCATTTTAGTATAATGAACTCAAGTTCAAGAATCAGTGAAAGGATTTGAGCTTTGTGACATATGATCCACTTGGAAGAAACCATCATTATGTTTTATTTATAAGGTTTATTGTCTGAGGGGAAAACTTAGTTTAATGGGTGTTGGATTACTGTAATAGAAGAAACATTATGTAACGCAAGGGTAGTATAAGGTCTTGTGGATGTCAAGGATGGTGCATATTAAGACTCCATTGTACATATGGTTAAAGCACTTGATATATAAAACACTTGATGTGATTGCAGAATGCAGACTGACTATGGATTGTAGTAATTTGAACATACGCTATGTCCATATGTGGATTCACATACAGTATAAAAGCAGTCTCATCAAACAGAGTGCATCTCCATTTACCTAGTGTTAAAAAGAAAATCAATGGGAGATTTGTGGCAGGAAGTCTGTATATTCTCTGTGGCCTTTTCCTTCATTCAGAGAGCGTGAGGTTTGTTCTGTTTCTACCCCACAAATCTTAACCCTCATTTGGTCTGAGACTGTAAAAATGGGGAGAGCTGTAAAATTCAACTCCCAAGAATAATCCTTAAGAATGGCTCTCATTCATCACACTTAGAAACACACACACAGTATGGTGGTAAGCAATATTCTGGAGCAATCGATTGAGAGTAATTTGATCTGTGTCATCTGTACAGTTAATTGATTGCTCGTTTTCGAAAGCCATATTGGTGTGTAAGTGCATCCGGTCCATGTAGATGCCATTATGTGCTTGATCCCCATTATAACATATTAATTAGAAGAGAAAAGAAATGGCGTTCCTTTTCCTCTTCGTATGGCAAATGTGTTCAGTAGGAACATTTGTCTTTGAACAGCTAGGATGTAATTAAGTCACGTTTGAGGAACAGTAATTGCTGACTTTGATGATTCCTTTTGATTACTTGATCAAAGAAAAGAAAATTGCCTCAGTTTCAGCCTGTCAGCTAATAGACTTCCACTGAAGGCCTTTGGAAGTTGCAGAGATCACTGTGCATGGCGGGTTGAATTCAGAGCACACGGTTGATCAAAACCAACTCAAAATGACCAAGGAAGGAATTCCAGAACGTTCAGAAAATATGACTCCTTTTGATTTGCTTCTGTTTTTATTCATGTTCAAAAACCCATTGATTTTTTTTCTTGTTTAATAATACCATTCAAGAGTATTCCTCTCCAAATTTAACACTGACCAAAGGAAAAGAATTACATGTCTCATTTACAAACTACTGACATTTCTCACAAGTGGCTTTCTTCAATTCTCTCTCTTTAAGTGGGTGAGTAAGTGAAGTGCTGATGAGGTTGTTGATGTCTGGACAGATTCTCCCACTCATTTTAGCCTGCTGCTCATTTTCTTCGACAATTGCTCCTCTTGTCTGTTTGCTCAGTCTGATGGGATGTTCTGATTCTAGCAATAGTGTCTACACTACCTGAAAAAAGTCTTAATATCGATCCCATTTGTAAGAGAAACACATAAT